TCAGTCACTTTTAAAGCAAATAATGCACAATTTACCAATACATAAGAATAAAAAAAACTAAGCTCACCAAGCCGGGTAGCAAACTGGGTTTATATATATATATAACAGGATAACTGGAAAGCGAGTATGCGAGTACCTCGAAAAGGAGTATCTCACATAACTCGAAAACGAATAAATTCAATGTTCTGACACTACTCGTTTCCGAGTTATGCGAGATACATACATACGTACGTACGGACGTCACGAAATAATCTTCCCTAAATTTATTTTAAGTCAATTTTACAATCCATTTTAGAGTCCTTCATTCTGCCCGTACGTACAGCTGTCACACAAAAACATAGTTCAAATAGATTCGTGAGCGGTCAAATGGATATCTTTGAAATATGATACCCTTAGTTTTTCGTTATTAAAATACTTTCTTTCTTTCGTACAATGTAGTAAAAAGTAATGGAAATATGAAACTTCTTCTATTGCATTCAAAGAAATACATTTTCGTCCTACAGTAAAAGGCTGGTCAATTATCTGGATTTATGAAATACGTCGAGTGGCTTTCCAGGAACTGGCTTTATGCTATAATGAAATTTTCGACAGAAATTTCTTTGTTTGTTAGAAGCCGATAAAAAAATTCCATGAAGTTATACCTTTCCTTAAAATCCACTTTACTTCCATTGTTTTCCCATATGCACAGTGATCTATTTTTGCTTAAAAAATAACAGAATTGCACAAACTCGGCATCGCCTACAACTTAAGCATTGCTCACAGCCTGGGCGCTCACCGCGAACCCAGCGTTCCTAATAGAACAGCTGCATCTTCAACATACATTCCAATGTAATGAAAATTAAAGAAAGTTCCCGTTTTTAGCCTTTTAAAAATAGGCCATTTTAAAATAACAGATAGCCGTCAGAAACACCGAACAAATTAACCAGAGAGAAATATCACACACTGATTCAAGTTCTAAAAAAGTAACATTTTGAGAAAAATGAACTAAGAACTAAAATAAAACTACCATTATCTAACAATAAAATCACCAAATTTGGCGTGCATCCGATATTTTACGTTACACAGTAATAATAAATGAAACTTACTTTCAGTCTTCGGCTTCGGCCGAATACATCTGTATCCAGATCTTTGAAATGCAAAATGTTTTTTTCTTTCAAATGATAATGCTTGTAGTCTTCGAAACCAGGCGAAAACCAGAAATGATCAGGGAAAAAATTTGCTTCAATTATTTCTAAAAATAACTCGGCACCAGTGGATTTAACAACTTGTTAAATCCACTGGACCAGTGGATTAACAAATTTGTGACAGTCTTTTTAGCTATTCTTAACTCAGATCGTATAACATCATTTCTGCCGTTACCCAACTATATATACGTAATTCGCAAAACTACACAAGCTCAATTTACTCTTTGTAAATCATGAAACTTCTCGAACAGATCTTGGAATTCGATGTTTACATTCGCCTCGCGTAATTCTACAGATCTACTCAAAACCAAGCTCTTGCGCTCTACCAATTTCATATTCGTTCCATAAATCAGACAGTTATATAATCTTGCAACCAACATTTTCTCCACTCAATCACGCTTTTGTTACTCTTTCTCTCCATTTGATAAAATAATCAAAATTCAACTTTTCATCTATACTCAGATGCACCGACATCAGACATATTCGTTAAAGAATTCTTTGAGCCAAAGAATAGATTTTTCGCAGTTTTGAACAGTTACGGTGATCAATTTAAAATTATTTATTAGCCCGAGTGGCCCTGAGTAAATCCTCTAAACTGGACTTCTACGCAAAAGATACCTATACACGGTAATAGTTCTACTCATCTTTACTTATGCCTCCCCTGCTTGGGGGGCTATCTCGAATAAGGATATGAACAAACTTCAAATTATACAGAATAAATTTTTAAGGCTCATCGCGAACGCCCATTTTTATGTTTCTAATGGCAAGCTTCACCGTGACCTTAAAATAGAAAAGGTCAAGATCTTCCTTCAAAAAGTAAATGAAAATTTCTTTAGTAAGGCGTTGAACTGCTCGCATATGGAAAGTTTCAAAGTTTTTGATTATATAATTCTTACTGAAGACCGAAATATGAGACCTTTAGCAGCCCATCTTTGTAACTCGAATTTCCCCACGTAGCCGATACAGCTTCTAAATAATGTACGTATGTTTATCATTTAAATTTTTCTTTGTATTTTATTGTATTAAACTCTATTTTGTACCTGTGTATTTTTGTTTGAGTACCTTCTCATCTCACAAACTGTCATGACGTGCTTCATACCAACACATGCCTCTCCTGATCTACAGCCTTAATTTGGATTTGTTTTTCTGCCCTGTGACAATTGATCATCCCCTCTTCTTATCACCTTAGACCTCTCCTTCATCGGTTTGGACACTCCCACGTCGGGCACCCTTTGGGCATATGTCATTAGGAGTCGGAAACGTCGTGATTCTTCAGCAATATTCCTGCAGTATCGATATGGACTGAACTGCCACGCAATATGGTTACAGATATAATTGGACGATTAGATGTCAGTTTAAATTTCTGATAATAAAATAAAGCATCTTGTTTGCAGAAATGATATATGTTTAATTAAAATATAATTAATTTTTTGGATAACGTTTGTCGAAGTGGCTTAAATATTCATTCCGATTTATAGTAATTTTCATTAGGTTTACGAAATTTTCAAAAAGAGGTTAAATTTTGTTAAAATACAGTTTTAAATTCGAACTCTTTATAAAATGAAATAACTTGTAGTTTTGGAGATGAATTAGTATTAACATTCTTTTGTCACAGATGAGATTTTAGCTTCCTTCATACGTCAGTACCGTTGAAATGTAATTTTGTTAATTTTATATTATCATCGTTTAAATAATTTATGTATCTATTTAAAAATTTAACACCGTAATTCTATTCCCTTAATTTCTCAAGAAAGAAATACTTTTGCATGTTTTTTTTATCGTTTTCTTAATATGTAACGTGAATAGGAGCCAGTTTCCCATAAAATATCTTCCACAAAAGCGCCCTCCTCTTAGAAGGGCAGCCCTTGTGTATTTTGCCATATTCAAATAACTTAATCTAAACTAATATGTATCTGCATCTAACTAAATCTCTTAATAAAGATATTGGGTTATTTTAACAATACAACTTAAATATATTATATTATTATATATGAAAATGTGACGTAGTTTACGGGAAGAAAAGATCTAATGTAACAAATTTTAGAAATAATCTCAGAAATTAACTCTCAGATGATCACGGGATCACGGGGAGATCACGAGCTATATAAGTAGCTAAGGTAGATACAAAGAAGGTAGATAATCTCAGAGATCACATGATTTATGTATAACTAACATAACCAAGGAGGTTATGGATATAAACAAACAAGGTCATTCTTCCTCTTCTTCTCCTGAGGAATGTATCTCTTACGAACTCATCAAACGAAAATCAACTTATGGAATAAAGTTTGCTTCAAAATAGTTCTGAAGAACATGCGACTCCCACACTACTAGTAAGAACATGTGAGAAGTGAACCAGAGTTTCAGAAAGCAGTGCCTCCTTTTACTCTGCATCTGGAGAACACCATCAGTAAAGCAATATGAGTAGTATGGACAAAATGAGACGAAAGTCAAGTGACCGCGATCAGTCGCCGAATAAGGTGAATTTCTGGTGGAAGGTCCAAATCAGTGAACAGAAGAATCTAGTATGCGTAAAAAATGTTAAGGTTGGAGAATGTCAGATGGATATTTGTGTTTTTCTCTGGGAAATGGAGAACATCTAAGAGAACTGATGCAGTTGTTAGGATTAATGAGTTCTGAATAGAAGAATTTTCTGGTAAGTTTTTGAATATAGTCTTGAATTGTGTCTACTTTGAGATCACGGGGGATATACGAATTTGGAATGAACCATGGCGAATTGATAATCTAAGTCCTTTGTTTTGAAAAACTTGGATGTATTGAAGGTGCGTTTTGGCAGCGTGGCCCCAGACAGGACTAACATAGAGTAATGCTGGTCAAAGTATAGATTTACATAAAAGGAGTTTATTCCAAAGAGTGAGCCAATTTTCTAGTTGAAGAAGGAGCTGGACAACTGTACTTGTAGAAGCTTGGGTCATAATTGCAGTATCATCTGCGAAAAGATCAGGGGTAATTTGTGGGGTTTTAGGGATATCGTAAGTGTAAACGTTATATAAATATAGTGAAAGTACTGATACTTGGGGCACTCCAGCGAAAATGTTTCTCGTGGTAGAAACAGAATTGCCAGTTTTTACTGCAAATATTCTGTCTTGGAGATAAGAAGCAATAAGTCTAATGCAATGATCGGGGAAATTCAACTTGATAAGTTTGTATACAAGTCCCCGGTGCCATAACCCTATCAAAAGTTTTCGCAATATCAAGGAAAATGGCTCCGGTAGAGAACTTACAATTTAAAAGTTGATGACACGAAGCAGCTAGTGATTAGTCCTATGAGGATGACGGAAGTCAAACTGTTCTTCTGGAATGTAGGAGCTCTGTGGAATAATTTTATTAAGATGACATAGAATAATTTGTAAGCCATTTTAGAAAGTTTACTGAGAAGGCTAATTAAGCGGTAGTTCTGTGGAAACGTTGAATTTTGATGAGGTTTTTGGAAAGACAACGACGATGGCATGTTTCCATATAGTAGGAAAGTAAGAAAATTTGATGATAGAGTTGATTATCTTAGTAAGACAAGTGATAGCATTCATAGGAAGATGTTTCAGCGCTTTGGTAGAAATACCATCAACACCTAGAGCTTTTTGGGGTTTTAAGGAGCTAATATAATCGGCAACCAGCTTAGGCGTGACGAGGAATGTTAAGTTCAAAGGACCTGCGATTTTAAAGAAGGTATTAATAGTATCATTAACTTTGGAGATTCCCACACCGTCGTAACGTATTGCAAAATGTTCCTGTACTTTTTCCCACTGCTTTCCTCCCCTCCATCCTTTACTGCTACTTTAATTCGAAAGTTTCTGGCAACTCGGGTTTTAGTTAGTTCCGAAGCGGCTATTTCATTTTCGGCTTTTTGTAAAGTGGGCTTTACTTGAGATCTTCGTGGTTAAAATTTTGGAAGTATGGAAAGTGATAGTATAACTTTACTTGTAGTCCAAGTATGTTATTACTTATAAAAATTAGTGCATGTATATGACGCATGTGATTCTTATCACTTCAGTATACATGAAAACAAAAAAATCCTGAAACAAGCTCGTAGAAAGAACCCTACTGCGTGTAACAAGTGGCTGAGCACTTAAGTAGTTTAAACAAATAAGGTTAAAAATATCCGGGGGATGTTTCCCCGAAACATCAACATCTAAAAATTCATCTGCTTGAATTTTTCCTTAAAATTTTTTGCGAAGTTTCATTAATTTAACGTTTTGTTAAACGTCTTATTCAATAAGGCATACGTAATATGATGTTTTCAGAGTTAAAGTAGGACTAATTTTGTAGAGTAATGGTTTTTCATAGTGTAGGTTGGGCAAAAATTTTTCGTGCCCTTAAAAAAAAATTGAAATATTCGTTTTTATATTGCACTTATATTTATCTATTTAGAATTGGGAATTTATTAATTTTAAGATTATTTCATTTTTACATTATTTTCTAGGTATCTTTCTCCTCAATTGATATGCTGGGTATTTTAACAGAGTGGTACATTAATGATTTCTGTGTGAGTGAAACAACAGAAAGCATCAGAATTTTTTTTTCATGTTATTGGAATAAAGTTATATTTTATTTTGTGAAAGGAACTAATTTAATGTATCAGGATGATCAATTTTAAGCTCACAAAAGAACTGGCGAACGAGTTCAGAAACTGAAGTTACTATATCTCTAACTGTAGAAAAGGATCTAAGGTAAGGTGATCAGACGTCCCGCTTGTAGATTTTTAACAATTCGCTGCGCAGCGTATTAGAAAGAATCCCGATTTTTTGGAAAGAATGCACGACAAGCTAGGGAATGGCAGGAGAATAAGGTTTTTGGCGGCCATGTGGCTACTTCGGCAGGATATGTATCTTATATTAGTTTTGTTAATTTTATAATGTTAAATTTTAATAATAAATTATGGTTGACAACTGATTATCGAGAACTGCTTATCAAAGTTTGCATTGTTGATCAGTTATTAGAATTCGACCACCAATATTTGGACTTACTGGCATTTTTTGGCATTGGCAATAATGAAAACATTTTGTAACTGTCTCTCAGACCAGTATATAACTCGGTTCAGTCATTCTCAGAGCTTGACACACTCAAGTTAAAACTCAATAGCCTCAAAGATGGACATTCCTGATGTACTACTAGACACTTGATGATGTATTCATGATTAACTGACGATCAGCTACTACTCCACATATAGGCAGGGTTTATATAGCTTTTGGCATGCCTTCAAGAACATTCTGAGCTGAGCGCTGGTAAGAATTTGTTCTAAAATGTTCTTCATCCGTCTATGGCATATTGCTAATTTTGTTGCCAAATGGACGATTTCGTGTCAAATCTGACAATCCTAACCCCGCCTTCTGGGGAATCTATCTTATCACGGCTGCGTGTTTTGTAACAATATTACAAAGGAAAAAATTTCAATTTATCTGTAAAATTTGAAGTTTGGTACTTGTAAGACATTTTTGCTGGTTGCACTTTGTAATTCAAATATATTGACTGTTAAATGCTAAATTCTTAGTAGGACATTTCTTTCAAATTATTCTAACATGTTAAACTAGCTTACTTTAATTTAAACTAAAAGTAAATAAATTTTGAAAGCTTTATAAGATTTCAGAGAAAATTTACCGACTGGGCAAAACTTGAGAATAAATAATGACTAATGACCCAGTCTTTTTCTCTTATTTGTTAAATATTACATAAATGTATAAATAAAAATACATGTTGATATGTAAGTAATTATAACTTCTTTATTTCTTACTACAGCTTGATACTTGATGATGTTTCAGTTCTAATAAAGTTTTTGTGTAATCTTGGGGAGAAATTACTAGAAATTATCTTTTTGGATTGTAGATGTACATCAGTCAATCCAGTTCTTTATTAATTTTCAATTGTGATAAGAAGCTGTTTGCATAAATGTGTTCTCAAATGATATATTCACAGAGCGATAATTTTTAGTATAAAAATTCGTAAATAGCTTATTTATTTTTTGGCTGGTACGAGTAAAAGTTAATCGAATCTGTATCTTTAAATCTTTGAATAAGATTTGTATTACACTGTAAAGTAATTCCATATATAGATTTTCTGATGTCCTATTCATGTTCATTTTTAATGAAAATAAAAATAATATAAAGTCAGATTTCTAATAATTAAAATCTTCCAATCTTTGCAACAAATATGTAAATGAAATGTCTTTGCTGCTGCATAAAATTATGTCAGATCATCAGTTTGAGACCACTGATGTAAAATACACCAAAATGTACCAGAATTTTAAAAATCCATGGAAATTAATGAGTGATTATATAGGAATATGGTATGTACCAAAAAATTCGTGCTATAAATTTAGGCTTCACTTTTACAGGACTCGTACGGTCTTTAAAAGTACTTAAACATCCATAAGTTTTTTGGAAATAATTTTTTATCCTTAAAAGTTTTAAATCTTGGCCAAAATTGGCAAAAGGTTCATAATTTTTCTTTGACATTTCCGTCGAGTTTCCTGCTGTTTTTGAGTACCATTTTGGAGGAATATTGTTGGCTGATGATGCATTGACCAATATATATTTGATGAGTTAATACTTGAATTCTTTACTACTATATATAAACAGTGGATATTTGAGCTTTTGGCATGAGGCATTGCCTCAGTTGCAAAATAAACATTTCAAAATTATTTATTTTTTGCAAATGAAGAGTTCATGAAATATTACATCAAACAATTTTTTTCTCTCTTTGAAATATTATTACTTTTATTATGTGGCACTAAATTTGGTGACTTATCAACATTTTGCCAATTTCAAGATTGGTTTGTGTATAAAATTTGTTATTCGGAGCTTTATGAATGTTTTGACAATTTTTTTTACAAACATAATTGACATTGATACATAGCATTAAAATAATGATAATAGATTTAAAGTATATTTACAAAATACTATTAAAATAAAGCATTTTTATCTTCTGCTGCCATGTTTTGAACAGACATTACTTTCTATTTTTGTGACTTCTATTTTTTTCTGAAAATTTTGATTCTGAAAAGTAATAAAATAATAGCTGCTGTATAATATTTAATTATTTGTGACTAACTGCTCATCCTTAAACGCTATCTACATGCTAAGGTGAGTTATTGTTTTTCCTTAGTGTGGATGTTCGATACAACGCAAAAATGTAAAAATTAACGCAAAACTTTATTCCTTACATTTAATTAGACTTCAGTAATGCAAAACAACATATCACCTGTGGTGTTTTCAGTGGCTTATTGGTGCTTTACATTAAGTGCTGTATATTAACTGGGTTACAACTCCAGCAAAGGTACAGGAAGCTACAACACTAATTGGACCAGACAAAGTGCGGCTAACTTTCAATACTTACCGACCGTATCAAAGCAGTTTTTATGCTATAAAAATACTAATATTTAAAATGGAAAACAATATAGTCAACTCAGTCAGTGACAACAACACATTCATGATAATATAAGTTTCTAATGAATCCTGCTGGTTTCAGATTTGTTATTTGGTTAATACCAATAAAAATATTCATAACAAACTGATCTACTAGTTAAGGTACTTACATATATAGCGTAGCTACCTTTGTACATTTTGATGAATTTTATGGACGAGAATAAATGTCTTATATTTGTAAAATATTATTTATTACATACAAATATATTATTACAGGCGCATTTTATATTTTAACTAAGTATTTATTCTAAAAATAATACACAAGCTTACTGACAAGAGGGTTTCTGCTTCTTTTGTTCTGGTGGAAATTACATGGGGATTGCTCTAAAATAAGATTCAAAATAGTTGTTCCCTTTAGCAACTTTGTGCAGAATATTGTTTGTGAATATGTTTTATTGCACTTTCTTCCAGTCCCATAAGTACATTCGTACATTCCCATAAGTACAGTAATTTTAAATTGAATTTAAGACAAAGAATATCATGCCTTGTCTATAAAAACTGTTGGACTTTGGAATACCTCTCTCCACCCCACTCACACAAAGTACATAAAAAGTGGTATTGTTTGTTAAAAACTGAAAAATAGTCATATGATTGCCTAAAATGCTGTTGTGCACATGTTTCCAGTGTTTGGCCCATTCTAAAACTTTGACAATTTTGCTGCAAGTACCGTATCAAACAAAATTTTTACCATGTGTCTGAAAATAGTTGTCTACAGTTAGTTTTAATGTACTATGAAGAATATGAATTTAAAAATGCTCCATCACACGTTATTTTATAGTAAATCATTAAAACTCATTCCTCACCAGGGTATTATGAATGAAAATTCAGTATATTCACATAATTCCTACATATGAGTAAGAATCATGTAGTAGTGAATCATCTCTTGTAACGAATGATCTTGAAACATTATTTTATATAGGTTAATCTTGGAGATCATAAAGGCATATAAATAATCATGAAATTCTGAAGTACCATATGGATTTAATTGAGAAAGGATAGTTTTACTGTGTATACTTTGAATACTTTTATTCAAAGAAATCACGAGATTTCAACAGCTACATACTCTTGTTATACTTTTTTATTCTGTCAAAACTTTTGAATGAAAATCAATTAAAGTGTTATCACAATAGCATTCATAAGAGAGAATTCCTTCTTAAGAGAGGGATGTTTCTGAGTTTTAATGTGAAAGGGATGCTTTTGAATTTTTGTAGTTTATTTTAAAATACAGTCTCCAAAATAAAGTTCCAAATGTTTTAATAGTGTTACAAACTTTCCTCGCATTGCTGGAAGTGCTGCTAGTTGTGGGAAGAGTTTTCTAAAAAAAAATCTTTATATTGCATTTAAGAAATATTTCTATACTATCTACATTGCAACAACTGGAGTAATCAAGTAGGCCACTAACGATATCATTGGTGGTTTTGCGAACGAAAAAACAAACAAAATAATAATTTAATTTTAAATAAACATAGTCTTTAATTTTATTTTTTCTTCAAAAATAAACATAGTCTTTAATTTTGTTTCCTTATATGCCATTTTGATGTTTTTTTTAGTAATTTGTTTATATATCAAGAGAGGCATCAAATTCAGAGACCAGCCTAGGGAGCAAAATCAAGGACCTCCCTGGACGACAAAAGCTGTCCCTGAGCCAAGGGGTCACAAAAGATGCCACTGAGACGAAGAACATAAAATTTAATTAAATATTAATATATTTTCTAATCATATTATAAATCATTGAATAACCTGAATCATGCATTATATAAAGTGAATTCAAGTCAATTTGGAATTCCTTTGAAATGTTGCTCTTGCACAACAGGAAAGCCTCCCTTAAATTCCCTTTTCTTAGTGCAAGATACTCCCATTTTTTAATATTTAAAGGTTGGCAGTTATTCTATAACCAAAATAAAAGATAATTCATGAAACTTGTAACAGTCTTTTTTTATCGAATTTTATTTCGTACTGTTTATGAGCTATACTAACACATATTTTTAATTGCATTTGGGGAAAAAAAAATTTTGTCACCAATAAATGTGGAAAGTTTTGCACAGTTTGAAGGAATCAGAAGCAAATATTGCTGGTTTAATGGAAAAGTTATGTTATTAACACTTATAAATAGAATGGAAGTAATTCATAAATGTATTTAAACCGAGGGCATCGAAAGTAGTTTATATGAGCAAGTTAAATATCACTAAACTAAATTTTGATTAATTTTAAGGTTAATTTATTGCCATCATATATATAGGGTGTCCTATTAATGCAGCAAAAAACTCAAAGGGGAGATGGTTGACATCAAGAACAGCAATAATTACCATTGAAATCAGTGCATCAAGTTTGCAAAAAGTCTGAATGTTCTAACTTTTCAACTCTACCACAAGATGGCACATAAATGAACCAGTCGCACACAACACATACAAACTAGCATCTAGTCTATGATTTCACTGTGTCAGCTGTCTTTTATCAGAAGTTATTTCAGTTTTATTAATATGAAGCAATTAATTGCAGGAGTGCAAAATCACCCAGTTATGTTGGATGCATGATTTCTGAAGATAAATTGATGATAACTTAACTATCTGCAAGCTCCTGCTTTAGATGCAATTGCATGAGAAGTTGATGGTAAGTAGATTTTATTTATATTTGCTATTGGATCTTTTAATATATTAATTGTTATAGTTAAATTTGCATATTTCCTGCACACTAGAATTTTGTGTTTTACATTAATTTAGAATGCTTTTCAAAACATGCAATATTTGAATGCGAATAAATTAAAACAGTTATGACTATTTATATTTGTTCATTACTTTTGTGCTGATTTCATTTTGTGCATTATATTTGCATTCTATTGCCTGAGGCAAAAAATTAAATGCACGCCACTGTATATAATACAACATATCTGTTCATTTGTACGTGCACACATCTGCAAACATACATACACACATATATATATATAGGGTGTTCTGTAAATGTAGCGATAAACTTCTGGGGGATATAGGGCACATTATAAGAATTAAGAATTTCGTAGCAACCTATGCCCAAAAATGTCACTACGTCGCCAGGGCCTGCTGTACAGGAGAGTGCTAGTGGAAAGTGAGGATTGCTTCATTCAAGCAGTAGGCACCATACAAAGAGCATGGAATGCTATATGAATGGAGAGCTTGCAGACATGCATTTAGTGTATGGAATAGCTAATGGTAATAGATGAGGCACTGCATGCATTTATTGAGACCGCCTCTCCGACAGACATCAACCACACCACAGTTTGTTTGCATGCCTGCATCAAAATTTGTGAGACTATGGGTCATTAAGAAGTGGCAGGAAAGTGAGGTCAGGCCATGATCGACCTTGCTCGGTTGTTAGGGAAAGCATCTTGGATATGGTGGAGAGTAATCCAAGGACCATCATACGTGCCCTTGCTTCTCAATTAAGAATATCTCGTACCAATGTCCAGCGTGTCTTGAACGTTGAGCCCTTCCATGCCTTTTGTCTCCAAAGGGTTCAGTTACTGCTCCTTGATGACCATTCTGAACGTGTGCCTTTCGCACAATGGTTTCTGCAAGAAAATGCCTGTGATGTTAATTTCTCAGCTTATGTGTTGTTCACGGATGAGGCCACATTCAATAGGGATGATGTAGTCAATCACCACAATCAGCATCTGTGGGCTCAAGAAAAACTCCATGGTGTGTGTGGTACAATAACACTTCATAGTTGATGTGTGGGCAGGTTTGGTCGGTGACTGCTTAGTCGGGCTGTACCTTTTACCATTCAGGTTGAATGCTGCAAATTATCTGATCTTTCTGGAGCAGGTTCTTCCCAACTTGCTTGAACTATGTTCTACCAAATTTGAAGCACAATATGTGGTTCTAACATGATGGGGCACCTGCTCATTTAGTACTGGATGTTCATAGCCATTTGAACAGATCATTCCCACATTGATGGTTTAGGCATGGTGAACCGATTCCATGGCCCCAAAGTTCCCTGGATTTATTGAGCCTTGATTTCTTTTTGTGGGGAGCCATCAAAAGTATCATGTATCACAATTCTGTCATGTCTGAAATGGATTTCATGGCAAGACTCGTCTGTGCAGCTACTATAGCCAAAGAAACTCCCAGTGTCTTTGAACATGTCTGGCAATCTATGGTCCATCGGTGTCGGGCATGTTTGGCATGTGATGGTGCAAACTTCAAGCATCTGTTGTAACATTCATGCTGTCATACACCATTTGTCCAATAAATGTTTCAAATTAATCACTGCCTTGTTTCCTTTGTCATCTTCTACCTCTGCAACCACTTACCCCTAATATTTCTGGGCATAGGTTCCTATGCAATTCTTAATCCTTATGATGTGTTATACCTTCCGCAGAAATTTGTCACAACATTTGCGGGACACCCTATATATTTTGTGTGCGCGCATGTGTGTGTTTGTGTATATATATTTGTGTCTATATATATATATATATATATATATATATATGTAAAACATTATGGAGGTTTCAATTCTTAATTTCACCACAGCACTAAATGAATACACATACATTCAGACCTTCATTTTATAGAAAGCATCCTTCATTAGCATAAATATGTATGATCAATAATTTTGCTCTGTTGCCACTTTTTTGCTTAACATACATCTCAAAATGAAACCTTCTACATTGAAACATAGCTGATTTTACTCCTACTGAATAATGTACGTCCTTGACACCAACCTGGTGGATCATTTTTTATTTTCTGCTTTCATCACCACGACTATCAACACATGGCAGCTTGTGAAATGACTGACACAGCGATGTCTAGACAACGTTTTGAAAAAATATTAGTATTTGAATATTAGATAGCATGTTAACCTTTTATACTGACCTAATGCTTGGCAATGATTACAGACTTCAGCTAACTGTGAGTGAGTTGAGAAGAAATTTAAATTTCTTTCCATGTGAGAATAAAAAAAGATTTTGTAAATGATACTCATAGGCAAAAAGATTACATATAGTGCTTTTTGAATTGAGAATTACTGATTTGTTATTCAGATAAGGCCAAGACTGGTGCCAGAGCTGGCGTAACCACACTGGGTGGCAGAATTTAGGGAAGGCAAAATTTTTAGAATTTGGTCCGAGCAGCAAAATTAAAGAATGGAAAGATCTTTAGATTTTAGGGGAGGCACTAGGGTGAAAAATTTAGGGAGGCTCTTGACAGCAAAATTTAAGACCCACATGGAATATGCCTGGCTGCAAAATGTATAGTGCCAGCCCTGTATAAGTATGTGTGAGAATTTATTTATTTAGGACTTAGATAAGCATATGCAGGATATAAACATTAGTATAATAAATATAATTCAGGTTTAACTTTGTTATGTGGTAGAAGGAAGACAGAATTTAATGGAATGACGTGCTCTTAGTTGCCAATCTCATGTCACATCAGCAAAAGTACTGTATATTCCAGCATATAATACGTACTTTCAGTACAAAAAATAAAGTCGAAATTTACAGACCCGCGTTATACCCTGGGTATAAAACTGACAGATTTAAAAATAAGCAGCGAGCATAAAAGAAATTTAAATTTTTACATGTACCTAAATGCTGCTTATTGAAAAGAAATGGCATACCTTATGAACTTAAAAATTTTCATTATCGGATAACACGAAAAGTTCATCATCTTCATCTTCCATTATATCTTCAGGCACATCATAGAATTCTGTTTCATCTTCACTATCATTGTTACTCTGATACATAAATAAATAATCATCATCCATTTCATCTTTCATAAACACCAAACATCCTGCAACACGATTTCCATTTTTTTTCGCAAGCTGATCACTTTGCATTTGAAAACAGTCCTGTTTCTAAAAGGAACACTAGATCAACTGTATTTCAACTAGAGCATATTCGATTTACTAAGGCCTTCTATGTTCACTTCAAATGACTGCAGGAAAAAAAAACATCGACTCCTAAATCCCCGAATTCTTTTGGGTCGGAAGGTCATTCTTGCCCCCAATTCTGCCCCCTTTATTCAAAACCCTAGAATAGCATTCTTTTGCACAGCTGCCTTGAATACAACCCACCCTGTTTGCATGCATATTTACTCCATGAAGCATTTAACCCACACACATATTGTTTCCCTTATCACTTGTGAATTCGGTATACATTGTTTGAAAGGCTAGGCCAAATCTTTGATTAAGTGACCTCAGAAGATAAGAACATTGCATATGTGTATCTTTTAGGTTTTTTCATGAAGAATTGTGTGTGCTATATATGGTGAATATACCTAAAAGTTTAAAAAATGTAGCTTGAAATTATGGTACTTACGTATTATCGCAACCAGGTTGGCGCTATTTGTAAGTTTGAGTAAAAAAGTATGAATAGAAAGAAAATGTACATTTATTAATTACAGATAATTTTTAATACAGTTTTTTATATTATTTTGTTTTAAAATATAAAATAGCAATTAAACCCTTCCGGTTTCGAATTTAAATAAGTTGCAGAATTATTTTTTCGGCGGAAATCTTTTGGCTATTGCTTTTAGCATTGATTGAAAACCGTATTCGCCATAACCATGTACACGTTGACTTATTTTTACTTAAAAAAACATCCCAGAATTGCACAAAAATGGCATTGCGCACACTCTTGACTTTATCTATGTACACTGCTATTTTCTCATAAATTACAAAAATTTGCACGAAAATGCAGGAAAATTTTGTGAATCTTCACATGCTCTTTTTACAAAACTACATATAACACATAGGGTTGCCGTAAGTAGGGTCGCCAAATTTCGCAATTTATGCGAATTTTGGCCTGGTTGCGTTAATACGTAAGTACCAAAATTATAGATGGGTGTTATACCCCAATGCACATTATGTGCCAGAAAAGGTAAACAGATGCTAGTTAAGCTATGTGATGATAGCCATCAAAATTGAAGGTTTTCAAATATCGCAAACAAAAAGTGAAATTTTTCCAGTTAATGCAATATGTGAAAGAATATTGAGAAGTTCTAATGAAGATGATGATATAGCTGCACCTGCTAGTATTGCAAAAATAATAATTGTTTACATTCTTATTTAGTAAAAAGAGAAATACTGTCAAAAAGAACTTCAGTAATCATACATTTTATTCGAATGTTTTAGTTCTATTTTGTTGTTCTCATTCTGAACTGTGCAGTAAAGTCACTGAACACTGGTAGTTTGGTCCAAGGTTCGAATCCCTTGAATAGGCTGGCTGCATGGACGTTTTTTTGGTTTTCCCTTGTGTATGGTGTATATAAGCCGTTTCCCTTAGAAAGTCCTCCTCGAAGGCATCCTTCCCCTTAGAGCCCTCCAGGATTTGCTGTAATCATATGAACCAAACCAAAGCCTTTCTGAACTGCTAAAAAAAGACTGCTGCCTTGAAACTAGTTGAGATTACATAAAATATTATAAATATAAAAAAAAGATTATGTTTAAAAATATTAATTTGTGGGTAAGGAAATATAAATCTTCCAAGGAAGGAAATAATATATATCATTTTTTAAATTAATTCTGTAAGTCCCTAAACCATACAGGATGTTTAATAGTTGTACCAGATCAAGACTGTCCAATAGTTGGCATAATTGTGGTGGACCGAATTGTTCTTAGTGTCAGCAAATAAAAAGTGTTGTCTTTTCTTGCTGGTTTATTTGAATCATTTTTTGTTGATTCAGGAGTAATTTTGTAGGAATCTGAAATAATATAAGGTGTGTTATTGGTATTAATTTTTTATCTGTAATTTTAGAGTATTTTAGATTGGTGAATGACCTTATAAGAACCTTCATAAGGCAGTTCAAGTTGTTTGCAAACTCTGTCAATATGAAGAAAAACATGACACCTTGACTATAAATCCTTGTGTAAAAAAAATTTCTGGATAGAATTATGCTGAATTATTTCCCTCCACTTTTTCGACATTCCATTTGCTTTTGCAGCTTCTTCATGAAGATTCCACTCTTATATGGATGATATTTTCATAAAAAACTCACCTTGAAAGCTTGATATTTTCACTCTATATCATTTTGGCAACTATGTAGTTAGTATCGTCTTGTATTACTGTATAAAGACCCAGAAGCACTGTAGGTAAAGTTTCATTCCAAGCAATGTTGTTATGAGCTGTTAGAGCTGTTTTAATTGATCTATGAAGTCTTTTTACTTTGCCATTGCACTGAGGGTGATAAGCTGTAGTATATTGAAGCTTAATGCCACATATTCTAGAAAGGGTTTGATAGGTGGCAGAACGAAATTGAGCTCCAATGATCGGTAATTACTGAAGTAATCATTCAAATCTTGTTATCCAGTTATTGAAAAAAGCTTTAATTATAGTGCCTGCAGAAATGTTGTTCAATAGTGTAACATCCATCCAACTTGCGTATCTCTCAATAGAAGTCCAATGATTAATATGGCTGTTCAATGGAGGTAATGGGGAAGTTCAATATGCACTTCTGTGAATTCTTCTAAAGGTTCTGGAAATTTTACCATTGTTGATTTTGTGTGATGAGAGATTTTTGATATAGTATGCAAGATTTTGACCATTCATTAACATAATTTTTAATGACTGACAAATTTTTCCAAAGAATTTGGAAGTAATCAGTTTGATTGTTGACCTAACTCCTGGGTGGGATAACCTATGAAATTATTTGAATATTTTCATCTGGTAAGTGAGGGGTATGTCTGGTCTAATATTAGCTATTGATGTATTTAATATGAGCTATGAATTTATTATATAATATTTTCGATAATTTTCTGCCGCACTTAATTTATTAATCAAAACATAACAATTCTGGTTAGAGTAGACTGAAGGGTACTTGTATTATTGTATTATCACGAAGTGTATCCTTGTATTATCACGAAGTTGATGTTTCATTTATGGTAACCTGAGTAGTTGAATGTTCTGTAAATATACTTTTACCTAGAATTGGGTGCTCCTTTGACTTTTTAAGCGAAAATATATCGATGTGTACATGGACACAGTCAATGGACTGCGCAATGCCAAGTTTGTGCAATTCTCTTATTTTTTTTAAGTGAAAATAGGTCGACGTGTACATGGATAAAGTCAAGGGAGTGCACAGTGGCTAGTTTGTACAATTCTGTGATTTTTTTAAGTGAAACTAGGTCAATGTGTACATGGATACCGAGTTTGTGCAATTCTTTGACTTGTTATTTTGTCTTTGTGTAGCGGCGAATTTTGGTGCTAAAATCACCGCAGTTATCAGGGGCTATTCTTTTCCTAATTACATAATTATACATACTGTAAACAATTACAACATTGTAAGTAAAGGCAGTTACATTTATGACTGTAATTAGATTATACAATTATAATGTAATTGTAATTGCACTGTTATTCTAATTAAATTTAACAATTGCATACATTATAATTAAAAAACAGTTATTATAAAGTAATTGCTTAATTGAATTACAGTTACAATGTAATTGCAGTCACGATTGCACTGTAATTGTTATTTTAATTGCGATTGCATTTTGACCAACTATGGCCTAAAATTTTGAGTGTAATTGCTCTGGAAATTAAATATACTGCTTATATAGTAAACATATAATTTTACTGTAGCTCACACACCCCTCCAAAAAAACTCAAGATTTAAATGAGTTGTTATTAAAGTAACCTAATGATAAAACCCATTTGCCTGTAGTGAATAGTTCTCTTTCCTCATTTACCTTCTGCAGAGCAAAACTAATATCTATCAGTTCAAATTGAGATCAGGGGCGGAGGCACTCCAAGGCAGGCCATATGTACGCTGCCTAGCCACTTTGTGCCAAAATTGAGATTTCCGTATATATGCTGCCTTTGGCCAAAAATTTGATTGCGCATATGCTGCCTTGCGAATAGGAGAACAAATATTTCAAATGCATGTATATGGCCGTCTGAACATGTTTATTAAAATTTTACAAATTTAAGTAGATTTATTAATTTTTTCACTAAATTGAAGATTTAAAATTTTAAAAAAATTTACTTGTATAATTGTTTTCAGAGAATGTTATATTTTTTAGTATAGTTAAAGAATTTTATTATCAACGCAAGTACTTCAGAAGGTCTTTTATAAGATAAAAAAAAAATCAATAAGAAGTTTTAGTTGGCACAGATGAAATAAGAACATTTATCTTTGCTGTGCAAGTGACCTCTTCAAAAGACACCTTCAGGCACAGACAGTAAGTTCTGAATTAAAATGTTCTTGCAGTATTGTAAAATTATCTTCTTAAAAATGTAAAAAATTATGTGTTTAAATGAACAAGTCTTAATATTAAGTTATGAATTTAAGTGTAATTATTAAATACTTTTCATTGATATAAAATATATTATTTAATAGATAAGGACAAATATTACAGCTCTAAATAATGTATTTTAAAGGATATTGCAGTGGTAATTTGGTATACATCATTGATTCATTCCAGATACTTGGACATAACCAAACGAACTTTCACAATAAAAAATCAAGGCAAAATAATTAACCTGACGCTATTTAATACTAAAATGCAAGTGTAGTGTGTAAAATATGTACTGTACATAAATTAAAAAAAGTACTGCACATGATATTATACATAAATACTTTCTCTGTAATCCACATTGAAAGCAATTTTTTAACATTTTCTAATATCTCTAGTTTTTGTTTTGTAATTGATTTCACACTCTTTACAATGTTAGCCAATTGAAAAGGACCCACCCCCACAGTCATTGAACTCCAGATACTTGTCATGGTATGCAGTAGCCAAGTCCCAAATATATATGCCATTGTCACACTTTTCAACAATCTCTTTGTTCACTTCTATGTTGATCTTATCTTCATAGCTTGACTTTTCTCATAATGTTCCTAAAATGCAATGTTAATGAAAATTTGCAAAATATTTACCTGAAAAACCAGAGAATCACTTGAAAATTCTGAGTTATAGCATGGATTGTTTGTTGAATAATAGCAACAAATATACTGATGTTCGTAGGCAGTCATAGCATTGCCTCGAAAGAGGTAAGTGTAGCATGTGCAGTCGTGACTCAATGAAGTCAATTTCCAAATAAATATTGTATACCAAACAAAAGTTTAACCTCCAGATTGGATGCATTTCACAGTGGATGTATACCAAGGCACCAATATAATTTATTTTCAGTAATGCAGATTGGATGTGTGGCATAAAAGCATGATTTCTGGAAATTTAATATATCTCCTCCTTCGTCTTTTTTTAAATTTTAATTAAAAAATTTTATGTAAGAATGTAATAAAATAAACATTGCATTTTAAATTGAGAAATTTATTGTTTTAGAAATTTAATATCTAGTTTATGCAGTGAAACCTTTCCATCATCCCATGAATGAGTAGACATTCTGGATAACTGAGTATTTTGTTCATGGGAAGCAAGCTTGTAATTCAGCTTCATAAAATTACTAGTCAAATTCATGTATCATTAATAAAATTTTCTTCACCTAGAATTTTTCTACAAGATCTCACTAATATTAATGTAAAAAATTAAGATTCGGAATTTGAACGATGTCTGACAACTGTTAATCATGTAGCAACAGCAGGGATAATATATCACTAGGAAATTTAAACTATAGTGGAGCACTTTGAGTTTACTTATGCTCCTAATGAAGAAGAGGCTGAGTGGTAAAGCCACTAAATACTGGTAGTTTGTTCCAAGGTTCGAATCCCATGAACAGGCTGCTGCATGGGCATTTTCGTCGTTTTCCCTGTGTGTAACATGTATACAAGCCAGTTTCACTCAGAAAGTCCTCCACAAAGGCATCCCTCCCCTTAGGCAGATAGCCCTAAAGGCTTTGCTGCAATCATGTAAACCAAACCTAATGATGAAGATTACTCTGTGACATTTGAACTTGTGAGAAATGTGGCAGACTCTAGATGCAGTCTACCAAATTCTCAAAGTTCAAGATTATACTAAAACAACTAAAAATTTTTCAGATGTTCACCCTCAGTTAAAAACAATCTTATTATTCAGGATTTCTTATATGTATTCATTAATAATATAATTTTTATTAAAATCTTATGATGTGTAGATTTAGTGAGATTTCATTATATTAAACATTTTTGCTATATTTTAGTGATACCATTTCTTTCATTTTAACATTTTGTATTTTTCCTATGCAGTATACTTTTTTTAAGTGAAAACACAGATGAAGAATCTAGTTGCATGCTCTCCACCTACTTACTGTAGTTGATGGAGATGTTCTTTCATCACCTGATTTATTTCAAATGAATGAAAGTATTCGTCATGACTTGACTTATGATGAAAATGAGCCAAAAAAATATTACAAACACTGCAAAATCTCTGAAAATAACAAAGTGAAAATATTCAAAATGAAGTTAAAAATATTTAGAGGCGCATACATTATATCAGTAGATTGTAAATTGTAAGTAAATAATTTTCAAAGTAGTATTGAAAGAGGTTATGATGATATGCACTTTTAATAGTTTTTCATAATACATTGAAATGTATGGATTAAGGTCAGAAAGCAATAGTTAAGTTCAGGATCAAGCCTGCAGTGTATGGTATTTTAACTCTGATATTTTTCATTTTATTATGAAAACTTGCTAAAAAATGCATATAATGCATTCTATGTAATTTTTTTAGTATGCATTTTAATAAACTTGTTGAAAAAATGAAAACACTGTTCTGTAATTCATTTTAAATTCTATTTTCTTTTTAAGCAAACTTTGTGGTTTAATTTTACTGAAACTTGAAATCAGTATCAAGAATGTTGGATTTTGGTGCATGCTTGATTAAACTTTAGAATTATTTCTTTTTTTTAAAGAAAAATAATGAGTTGGACAGATTTTTTGAAAAAAATTTAATCTTTGAAAAAATACTTTGTTTAAGTCTCTGCAAACAGGCTGGCTGCATGGGTGTTTTCATAGTTTTCCCCATGTGTGATGTGTATATGAACCAGTTTCCATTAGAAATTTCTCCATGAAAGCATCCCTCCCATTAGGCAGATAGCCCTCGGATGCTTTGCTATAATCAAAAGGGAACTGGGAAATAGTCTTAATATAAACAGCAGTGTTTTAGACAATTTGGCTATGAAAATGGCTGCTTCAGATAATCTGATTATTTATATTCAGTACTGTGTTAGTGTTTTTGAATTATGTGAGATGCTCAAATGAAATGAATTAATATATGCAGTGCATGGTTACAAGCATGGACAATTTTCAGCTTTGTATGTACAAAATCTAAATTTTGAAATTTAACGTGTTGTTTTCCTGCATAATAAAATACTATAAATCATACAACAGCTATCCTAAGAGTAGTAATGCCTGTGTGTAGAATTTTTCTGAGCAAAAGCAACTGGTATTGATATTTATTACCTATGGGAAAACAATCCATGCAGTCAGCTTATTTGTGAGGATATGAACTCAAATCAAGCTACTAGTGTTTAACAGTCTTAATTAGTTGACCACTGGTGTTTATAATTCAGTTTTTAACCACTGATGTACATCGCGCAATAATGTAAAATTTTGTTCTTTTTACAGTCCTTTGAAGTCACTATTTACAGTGTTGCAGAAATGCAAGTTAGCTTTTGATTGGCCTTTATTTTCAATTCTGTGAAGACTTTTCATTATTACATATTACATTATGTAATAAAATAGGCAAGTTTGATAATCAGAATAGTATTGGAACTATAGCTAGAAAAGAATATTTAAAGACATTTTTAATATATTACTGGATAGAAAGAATTCATATGTGACAGAATGGAAAAAATTGCTGTGCAATGGTAGTTTGATTTGGGTTTGAATCAAGCAGAGCAGGCCAATTTCGTGGCATTTTTCTTCTTTTTCTTTCTATAATGGGAATATGAACCAATTTGTCTTAGAACATTGAACACAAAGGCATCACTCCATTTAGGCAAACAGCCTCTACTTGCTTTGAAATAATCCATTTAGTGAAATACATTGAAAGAATTAGTATTGGTGCAAAACATCTTTCATTGTCTATTATAGAACAGTGTTTTATTATTCAAATTACATAAACAATTCCATATTATCGTTAGTAGAGTGATCTACAGATTGGTTCATTTCAAAAAGAAAGTACAATTTGTGGAGAAGAAACATCAATTATATGCACATACTCTGACTGTTTTCAAAGGAACTGCATACATAAAGCATTCAATTAATTCTCATCTGTGATGGAAGAGTCACAAATATAAAATGAAGTTATAATTAGTTAAAGAATTTCCTATTGTTTAATAGATAGACTTCAGAATTAAGTCTTAAGAATTTATGACCTGCCTTGCTTAAGAATTTTTATAGACACAGATTTTATAGTTGAATATGTGGAAGTTTGAGGTTATTGGCTCGAATAAGATAAAGTAGAGCTGAGTCCTATTTTTAATTTCTGAGGCCAGTGAATCATGCTGTTGGATTAAATATTAAGAAGGAGTTTCTGTTTTAACCACTTTGAAAAATTATCAAAATTCATTTGTCGTTGGTGATTCCCTGAGGGGGTGCCAGATTATAATACCAAACTTGATTCTATAAATTCATGCTGACTACCAAGATGCTCAACTCTCAGTCTATTTCCAGCACCTTTTCTCTAAAAAGTTAAAATTTTCCCAACCTGCTAACATTTTCTAAAACACATATTACTATCTTTCCAGGTTTCTTCCAAATAAATAATTACTTGGCTATTCTGTCTGAATTTTTTTATATCTTACACAAATCTGCATCCCCACTACACTTTCCATAGCCATTGTTCATTCGTCTTCACTGTGCTTCCATCAATATCAAGTTTTATGCAACATTTCTTTTCTCCAAGAAAAATCGGTTTTTTATTTTATTAGGCAGAAAAGTAGTTAAGAAAGGAATTTTGTTATTTGCTTAAAATAAAGTGGCCATTCACTGAGTAATACACAAATCAAAATCGTCTGCACTTAACAAGTACATCCTGGTTTTAATAGGTCTTTGCTTTTCAGGAGTAGTTAAGCGAAATATTAACTTTTTGCTTTATTAGCACAGTTCGATACATTAGTTACAGCAGCTGCTCTGTTTTGAGACTGCTGAGTAGCAGTAGATAATTTTTCTGAAGAGATCACTTTCTTAAAAAAAAAAAACTCTAGCTCTTTATTTATCACTTGTTTTTTTTTTGAATTGATGTTCCTTGTAACCTTCTTCATGCACTTTTTTAGGAAACAAAACTGCACAACCATTATC